CATCCTCTGTAATGAACCGGTCACCTAGTGGGCGAACGAGCGTCCTGAGTTCTATGAGCCGTTCTGGAAAATTAACCAAACCCAAGAAAGTCGTTGTGGGAACCTCTGATTTACAGCCCATTGGTCGGAGGCACTGGTGACAACCTGGACTCGTGATTGACATCCAAAGTGGGGGACAGACTTGTGGGACGGAGCCCTTAACCCATGGGATCTGACACCATCTCCCAGTCGACAGTGTCAGAACTGAGTTGAGTTCTTGGACACCCTGCTGGTGTTGGAGAATGGCTTGTGGGTGTGGGGAAGCCTACACACAGACAAACATGCACACACGCACAGACACACCCATGCACACACACAGACACACGTATACACACATGCATACAGGCACACACAGACACATGCATGCACACACACTCACACCCATGCACACACACAAACACACACAATGCACACACACACATGCATGCAACACTTGCACACACAGACACACACAATGCACACATGTGCACACATGCACACACGCACACATGAACACACGCACATATACGCACACACACATGCACACACACAGACACACACAATGCACACATATGCACACATGCACACACGCACATATACGCACACACACATGCACACACACACATAGGAACTGAGTCCAGGGTCCCCCCAAAACCCCTTTCTCAGGACCCCAGAGGCATCGAGCCTCCAGCCACTCTCTTCCCTGTGGTGGGGGGCGGGGAGCAGGCTTTTTTCTCCTTTGGGGCGGGTAACTGTTTCCTCTGTCAACACATGTTCTTCCAAACCCAGAATCCATAGCATGAACCACTGGGTATTCAAACCCCTTTCTTTCCAAAAAGCCCATCCTTTTCATGTGAGTCCTGGATCGCAAGGGCCTGGCCCCTGGCATGAGTTTCAAAGACCTATTTTGGATTCTATGCTCTGTTGCCCCAGCCTCAGCCCTCCCTTCCCGGGCAGGGGGTGGAAGCCTCCGTTAACGACTCGGAACATGGTTCACTGCATACATCTCGCAGTGGGCAGTAGAGAGGCAGTGTGTCAATGATTCTGTAGCTAGACTGCCTGGGCAAAAATCCTATCTATTAGCTGTGTGACCTCGGGCAAATTACTTAACCTCTCTGTGCCTTGTTTTATACTAACTAGGGATTATAATAGTACTCTACCTACTTCCTAAGCTCCTTATAGAGAGGCGATGGCATAGAACGCACTGGAACAGTGCCTGGCACTTGACAAGTCTGTCATGCCATAAGTACTGATAAACTTTAGTACCAAGAATTAGTCCTAATTTTCTATATGCTGGACAAAAAAAATTACGATAGGTCTATTTAAAAAAAAAAATCAAATATTCATTCACTCATTCAAATATTCATTCACTCATTCAAATATTCATTCACTCATTCATTCATTCATTCATGTATTCACTCAGGCCACTTGTTCACTTTGCTACCATAAATGCCAGGTGCTGGGAAGACAGCAGTCGACGAAGAAGTTAAGATCCTGATACGTTTAATCTGAAGCGTGACTGGAATATAATGCTTACCTGTCTTCTTATCTGAGACACTCCTGTAGTCTGTACGATATCCTGGGAGGCGGCCCTGGGCTCGGGGAGGACGTGGCAAGGATTTGAGGAGGTGATGCTCTCTCTATTGTCACGCTTTCAGGGAGAGTGGCAGCTTCTGACTCAGACTGTCCTGACAGTTAAAAATCGCCCCCACCCAAAAAAAAAAAAAAGAAAAGAAACCATATTATAGATCTAATGTGTACTATGTGTACTTCTACGGAAAGGTATCTAAGATCTATTTTGTGTTATTAAGAAAATCACAACACCAAACACTATGCATACCTGAGTCCATTTATGTTTAAACATGTACATTCCCATAGGTGTTTTCAGCACCCGTAAGGATTCATTCCCACCTCAGAGGCGGGATCGTGAGAGAAACTTTCATTTTCTACTTTACCTATTTTTATTGTGCCGTGTCCAATTTTTACAAGTATGTCTTCTAGTCGGAGCTTTTAAAATTCATGTTCATACTTGAGGGGAAAACGTGTTCGAAAACCAATTGGGGTGCCCTGTGAGGTAGTGAGCTTCCCGTCATGAGGGGCATTCAAGCGGGAGCTGGCAGAGCATGAAGCAGAGGCTGTGAGGAGGGGTTGGACCAGACATCTCTGAGAGGCAGAGGCTCGCTCTAGGATGCCGGAGTGCAGCTCATCTCTGCAAAAGTCTCACCCGGTGTCTGTGGGCTCGGTGGCCGGCATGCCATTTGGCTTCTAGCTGCTTCTGGCGAGGTCACTGCACAGCTTACACGGGCCCCAGGGTTAATGCTTTGCTGCTGCCGAGCCACGGGCACTGTTAGGTCCGGCGGGCCGGCCGAGCTCAGGCCACGTTGTCCACGCAGGGACCGGCGGGCAGGGAAGTGGGGGAGGAGCGGGAGTGGTGACACGGGCTCCACTGGCCTCCCGTCCCGTGTTGATGAGTCCCCTGTCCCTGCCCCCTCCCCTGCAGGACAGCCATGAAGCTGCTCTGGGTGCTCTCGCTGCTGGTGGCCTCGCGTGTCCCCACTGTCCAGAGCTTGCCAGAGGACGACTTCGAGGACATCACTGTCAACGTGTCCCAGCCCCTGCACATCCTGGAGGAAGGCAACCTGATGGTGCTGACGCCCGCCGGCCTGGCCCAGATGCTGAACGAGACCCGCTTCCTCATGGTGCTTTTCTGTGAGTGTCCCCACTCCCGGGGCTGGGTGACGGGTGGGTGAGGCCACCATCCTTGCTCCTGGGCCCAGGGAGTTTTATGGATCCCTAAACACGTGAGGACACGTATTATTCACATTTAAAAACTAATGTGTATATAACATCAGCCCCGGTTTGCAGAAGAGACTAGGGAGGTCCAGGCAGGTTGAACGGTTTTCAAGATATTACGACGCCACTCGAGTTTTGATTTGCATGGGGCCCCTCTGTCCCGCTCGAAGGCGAGGAGGCAGGCTTTACCCTCAGCTGTCTTTACTATTCTGAAACTCAGGTTTCTCCTCTTTAAAATGGCCACGAATATCATGAGCACATGAATCGTGGTGACGACTCAGCGAGACACGTTAGGCTACGGGAACACGAGCCGCGGCCAATGGGTAGAGTCGAGAAAAGATTTTTAGATGTTCACGTTTATCGTCTGCACGGCTCGGCTGTTTTTATTCTATGGGCCGCTGTCCTTGGCATCTGCAGAACTTCTGGAGATGGAGAGAGCTTCTTTCTCCCGAGGCCTTGGCACAGAGCTGGGCCCGAGGACGGGGAGGACGGGGTTTTCAAGACGATCCTTCCTGTGTGCCGAGCACGGTCCCTTCGTGCCTCACTGAACGTTACGTCACGTGAACCTCACGACAGCCCCGCGTGGGGGCACCCCACGATTCCGTTTCTCAGCTGAGGGAACGGAGGCTCAGAGAGACCAAGCGATTTGCCTGAGGTCACACAGCTCACAGTGGGGACTGCAGACCCTAGGCTGCCCCACTTCCCACGTGACGGGGACGGGGGCGGGGTGGAAGGAGGTGGACGGCAGGTGTGGATGCCGGATGCCAGAACCCTGCCCTCAGAGCCACTTCGGGGAAGGGTCTGGCTCCGTGTCCGTCCCCAGGGTCCACCTCCAGGCTGTGCCAGGCCACCCGGACAGTGGCTGAGGTTCCAGAGCCCAGCGGGGCTGTGCAGCGCGGGTCCCCGTCCCAGCTCGGGTTCTGCCTCTGGCCAGGCAGCCCACGCCCAGTTCCCCGTCCACCCTCCTCCCTCCTGCTGAGCCGCTGTGGACTTGGCACCCCACCCCTGCCCTTGTTGGCCCTTCTCCAACAGTAACTGGAGCGCTGGGTCCCAACACGTACTGATGAGGTGGCTTTGGGCAAGTGACTGTGAGCGCTCTGAGTCTCTATTATTTGGCTGCGAAATGGGGGGCTTAAATCACGTCGTGTAATCCCTGGGGCGCTTAGCATAGTGCCTGGTGCCCAGCAAGAGCTTAAGGATCTATGGGCTGCCATTTTCTTACCCGTTACAGTTTCCGTATCTGTTCGAAAGGGTTAAATAATTTCTCCTCGTTGAGATGATGAAAATGGCTCAGATATGCAGTCATTGGTTTCTAGTGGACACCCAGTGGACGGAGCTATTCTTACTGTCCTCTGAGTCACCCCACGTTTCCTTAGCCCTGCTCGGTGCCAGCTCTGCTGGGTGGGCCCTTGCTGGGGTCCCAGTGGAGAGGGGCCCTGGTTTCTGCTCTCAGAGACTTTACAGTTTAAGCCAGAAACGTCGCAAATGCTCTACACGCCATTAGGATAGCCTAAACCCTGCACGCTGGGCGCCCCGAGAGGAGGTGACTCCTGGGGGACATGTCCTCAGAAACGGCTCTTCTACCTGCAAACCGGCCGAGCAGCTTCTCGGCCCGGGTCCTGGCTTCTCGCATCTTGGCACGCACCAGGGACTCCTGGGCCAATGCAGATGCACCTGGAAGCCCAGAAGCCTGAACCCTCACTATCTGGCTTTCCCGTGGTGACACGTGATGGGCAGTCTTTAGCCAGAGTTGCGGAGCAAACAGATGTCCTTGGAACCAATGGCCGCCGGTAGCGATATTTATCCAAGTCCCCAGGCCAAGCCCTGGGAAACCGCACGGAGTCCTCCCCAGCCTGAATCACCCACACGCTTCGGTCCTGCAGTGACCTCAGGGTTTGCTGTGAAGGACGTGGGAGCCGGGCCAGCTTGCGTGCGAAGTCCTCTTCTGCCACGAGCTAAATATGTGGCCTTGGGGACATTTCTGGGTGTCGCCTTTCTCTGTCAAGTGAGACCCATGAAAGCGGCAGGGTGGTTACAGGGATGACCTGAGGGTGCCTGCGAGAGACCTGGCATGTGGGAAATGCTCCGTAAACATGACTTCCTAGCCTCCCCTGGCCAGGAGACGGATGCACTTCATCGACGTCACGTCAGTGAGGTCTGCGCTCAGCGGCGAATCATGAAGAATCGCTCATGGTGGATTTCAGGCTTTATCTCATGTGCTGTGTGGCCGCAGACAGGCGGTCAGTGATTAGCACAGCAGCTCTACCGTGTCGAGGAGGACCCAGGCTCCTCTGTCTCCTTGCTCTGTTACCCTTGACATTTCGTAGCTCATGGTCACAAGATGGTTGCAGCGTCTCCTGCATTGCATCACACATCCTAGCTAGGGAAAAAGCGGGATGGGCGAATAGCAAAGGGACAGAATACACGACAGCCAACTCTGGCCCTTAAAAAACTTTCAAAAGCCCCACCGGTGACTTTGGTTCTAGCTTATTGGCTGGAACTGGGCCCATGGCTGTCCCTAAGCGAGGAATCTGGAATGGTGAATGTTTTAGTTTTCTGTGGTGGAGAGAGCTAGAGGAAAAGAGGTCTGTAAATGGCTGATTCACAGTGTTTGCCATGAGACCCAAGGTTGCAGGCTAACTCGGTCTTACTAGGTTACATAAAGGTTCATGTCACGCTTACAACTTAGTCCCACGCGGGTCTGCAGAGGACCTGTGCTGCATTCAGCCATCCGGGCAACTGGGACCCTCCCATCAAGCGACTCGAGTATCCCTTAGGGCCTAGGGTAGCCACCGAATCCTCTGCCTCCAGCCAGCAAACAGAGAGGAAGAGAGAGGACATGCCTCAGGGCAGGGTCCCCCTCCTCCCCGGGAATGGTGCTCATCAGTGTACTTGACGGGTGATCCGTGGACCGGAGGTGTCGGCATCTCTCAGGAGCTCACAAGAAGTGCAGACTCTCAGGTCTCACCCCACACCCGCTGAGTCAGAGCCTGCATTTTCGCGAGACCCCGGCGATGCACGTGCGCCTTACGGCGTGGGACGCACTGGTACACGCCATTTCTACCCACACTCCACTGGCCAGACCTCTCTGCTAGGGAGGCTGGGAAATGCAGTCTAGCGTATACACGAAGAGGAGCAGAAACGGAGTTTGGGGAAAATGTGGGGTGGACTGCCTCGATCTCATTGTACCGACCTCTTGCTGTAGAAGCCTTGAGACGGCCTTCGATCGTGACTTTGATCGTGACCTACCGCTGGTCCTCGTGAGCAGCCTGGTGGCACATGCCGTTCAAGGCTCTGAACCAGGAAGAAAGTTTATCTTCTGGGCAGGGACGTCAGAACCTGTTTACCCCGCGAGGAGGACTCTCTGGACCCTGCCTGGCTCAGGCGAGGGCTCCAAGGGCGTCTGGCTCCCAGCCCAGTGGGAAGTGACCGCTCCTCACCTGCCCTGACACCTGCGCAGCCCCAGCCCGAGGCCCTCGGTCTCTTCTGGATGCCTCTCATCTCTCGGGCTCATTTTCTCAGTTCTTTACATCTCCTCTTCTTCCCCCAAACCCCGCAGTCAAGGATGTAACAGGAAGCCCATGGGCTGAAGATGGCCGGCAGGTCAGTTACATTCAGCCCACACGGTGTTTTCAAAATCGGGAGATTTCACGATTAAAATTGAATTGACACCCCCTCTTGAAGAAACGGAAGATCCGGAAGCACTGGCTCACGTTCCTGCGATGTGGCGATCGGCTGGAGCCGAGGGGCGACTTCCTCTTTGGGTCAGAAAACATGCCTGTCCTTGTCCCTGTTGGCCACCTCCCTGTCTAGCCAACGCCCACAAGTCAGACCCCCGGTCTCGCCCCTATAGCTTTCGCATTTAGAAAACCTGTCTGAGATTCAGGCCTCCCAGTTCCTCCCCCGTCCCTGGCTGTTCTCATCCGACACGTTCTCTCTGAGCGCGCCCCTTCGACGGGGCAGCGTGGATGTGTGGCCGCACCCACCGCTCCGTTGCCCTGCGTCCCATGCAGCCACGTGATAGCCACATAAAACAAAAGAATCCTTTTCATTCTCTTCACCCTGATGGTTCCCAGAAGGGAAAATATGATCAGGTCATTTCCGCTGCCATCCAATACGGCGCATGCCTATTGCGGAAAGTTTCATCGAAAGACTTCCAGGCCATTTGACCTCCTTCCAGCTCAGGCTGTTCCCGGCTTCCTTCAACCTAAGTGCCAGAGCACACGCTCGATGGTGCTTCGAGTCCATGCAGACAGCCCCTGGAGGAGAGGTCCGGCCGGGCCAGCTTCTGCAGCAAGGCCACGAGCAGGGCAGGCATTTTCACTCGGCTGAACGACTTTTCCAGCCAGTTCTCCTCATCCCTCACCCACCGTGGGACTCAGGCCGCCACGTACGTATCTGTGTCACGGCTCCTTTTACGAGGGAGAATTGAGGAGCCTGCAGCCAGCCCTACTCTGCCTGCTGCAGAGCTGTAAGCCGGCAAGGTCAGGCATCCAAATCGTCTTCTCTCTTCCACTGTGGTGGATCCCGCCCACGTGAGAACACAAGACTGTTCCCCCTCCCCCGCCCCCTGGACTGCTCTGTTTTAATCAGGGGTAGAAAGGTCGGTTCAGGTCAGTTTGGGGCTTTAACTGATCTCTTTTAACTCAGGCTACACAGAGAGCCGATTGATTTTATAGTCTTTAATTACTCTTGATAACAACCGATTGGAATACTTTAAACTTAAACCATTCCCACCAGCTGGCATTTCAAAGCACTGAGCACCAGCGGAGATTCTGTTATCTCAAAGAGCCGCTCAGACTCATTACGTCTGACTATTCAATTCCTTCCAATACACAGTGAAATTAAAATGAGTCATGTGAACACTGGCAGAGCTTCTAAAGTGACCTTTGGAAAAACTAATCACTTGGCAAAAG